TCTAGGCTTAATTCAGTAGGCTGTGCCAAATTTCTTGCAAATCGAAGCATATTTAGGGACTTTGCTGCACCATTTACCTTTAATCGGAACGAAAATATATATGGGAGATATATCTAAATCTGAACTGATTTTTTCCAATTTCAAGAGGGTTCGTCCTTGGGCCAAATAAGTGACCTATGCCAAATTTCATTCAATTCGGATCATAAATACGACCTGTACTTTGTTTACAAACATGGACAAACAGACGGACGGCCATGCATAAATCGACTCAGAAAGTGATTCTATGCATATTCTCAAAAGGAACCATGTGTCTATCTCGTTTCCTTTTGCCTGTTACAAACATATGCACAAAGACATAATACCCGGTACCACAGTGTGGTGAAGGGTATAAAAAATCCCCACCTAATGTAGGCTCTTGAAAGAATATTTTTACGCCTATGGTAGGTCTCTGATTTTTTTTAATCAACGTCTATGGTAGCAACTTGAGAAAATATTAAAAAAAATCCTTCTATTCTACATAGGTACCTGACCTGATTTTTTTATAAATCGCCCCCTTTTTGTAGCGTCCTTTGATGGTCACACTGCACCATTACCCCCCCCAGCAATTCATTGATTAGTTTGTGGGGATTTTTTTTTCCTTTATTTAGCTGTGACGTTGGGTGCTCATTACTCAGCCTCACTCTCTCTCTCTCTCTCAAAAGTCTTTTTCACCTCTCTCTCCAAGAAATCAACAAAGAACAGCCTGCGCCCATGATTTTTGTTTGGTACAAACTTTGCCCCCATACAGGCAGCCAGCCAGTCACACACTCACACACATGGCAATGGATGATCTTCAAAGATGAGTGAATGGAGCATAACAGCAGCATCAACAACAACAACAATACATACATAATTTTTTGGTGGTTTTTCGTTGAACACACTGTTGTTGTTATTGTTGTTGCCATTCTAATTGTTTTGTGTGTTGTGTTTTTTGGTCAGCCTATCTCCCCACATTAGTAGGGGTGATAGGCATGCATACACACACATACACTCAATGGAGTGTGTTATGGCGCTCTCTCATGGAGCGCCAATTATTTCAGAGTGTCTTTGTTGTTGGTGTTTTTTGTTTTGTTTTTATTATTGCTGTTATATCAGTCTGGTGCAACGTGGAGCATGATTTTGGTGATGTTTCGCAATGTTTTTGAATGCAATTCCCAGATGGCAGTGTGTTGTTGTTGTTGCTGGTTGTTATTGTTTTCCATATGTGTATTAAGGTGTTTGTTTGTGTGTGCATTATTTAATCGGAACTACAATGAACTCGGGCTTCTTTTTTTCTGGCTGTGTGCTTGTTGGTGTGAAATGATATTACATGGTATTAATTTTTTTATTTTTGTAGATGCAAATACCGGAAAAATAGCGTATGGAAAATTGATATCGTGAGAAGTTTGAAAGGTAAATGGGAAATAAATAACATGGCATGTAGTATCAATTTATATTTATTAAAAAAAATAAAAAAATTAATATAGGTATACAAAATAAAATATAAAAAGTAATAATATAGAGTCTTACTAGAGCTGTGGATTTTTTAAAAATATTTTTTATATTAAAAATATTATTTTTATAGGCATGGATTTTTTTATCGTGGATTTTTTAAAAATATTTTTTCATAAAAAATAATTTTTTCATAAGCGTGGATTTTTTAAAAATATTTTTTCATAGGCGTGGATTTTTTAAAAATATTTTTTCATAGGTGTGGCCTTTTTTAAAAAAATTTTTTATAGGTATGGATTTTTTTAAAATATTTTTTCATAGACGTGGATTTTTTAAAACAATTTTTTTAAAGGCTTGGATTTTTTAAAAATATTTTTTCATAGGCATGGATTTTTTGAAAATATTTTTCAAAGGCTTGGATTTTTTTAAAATATTTTTTCATAGGCGTGGATTTTTTAAAAACATTTTTTCATAGGCGTGGATTTTTTTAAAAACATTTTTTCATAGGCGTGGATTTTTTAAAAATATTTTTATGGGCGTGGATTTTTTAAGAATATTTTCTCATAGGCGTGGATTTTTTTAAATATTTTGTCATAGAATATAAAAAGTAATAATATAGAGTCTTACAAGAGCTGTGGATTTTTTAAAAATTTTTGTTATATTAAAAATATTATTTTTATAGGCGTGGATTTTTTTATCTTGGATTTTTTAAAAATATTTGTTCATAGACAGGGGTTAAAAAATAATTTTTTCATAAGCGTGGATTTTTTAAAAATATTTTTTCATAGGCGTGGATTTTTTAAAAATATTTGTTCATAGGTGTGGCCTTTTTTAAAAAAATTTTTTATAGGTATGGATTTTTTTAAAATATTTTTTCATAGACGTGGATTTTTTAAAACAATTTTTTTAAAGGCTTGGATTTTTTAAAAATATTTTTTCATAGGCATGGATTTTTTGAAAATATTTTTCAAAGGCTTGGATTTTTTTAAAATATTTTTTCATAGGCGTGGATTTTTTAAAAACATTTTTTCATAGGCGTGGATTTTTTTAAAAACATTTTTTCATAGGCGTGGATTTTTTAAAAATATTTTTATGGGCGTGGATTTTTTAAGAATATTTTCTCATAGGCGTGGATTTTTTTAAATATTTGGTCATAGGCGTGGATTTTTTGAAAATATTTTTTATAGGTGGGGTTTTTTAAAAACATTTTTATGGTCGTGGACTTTTTAAGAATATTTTTTCATAGGCGTGGATTTTTTTTAAATATTTTGTCATAGGCGTGGATTTTTTAAGAATATTTTTTCATAGGTGTGGATTTTTTTTAAATATTTTGTCATAGGCGTGGATTTTTTAAAAATATTTTTTCATAGGCGTGGATTTTTTAAAAATATTTTTTCATAGGCGTGGATTTTTTAAAAATATTTTTTCATAGGCGTGGATTTTTTAAAAATATTTTTTCATAGGCGTGGATTTTTGAAAAATATTTTTTTATAGGCGTGCATTTTTGAAAAATATTTTTTCATAGGCGTGGACTTTTTAAAAATATTTTTTCACAGGCGTGGATTTTTGAAAAATATTTTTTTATAGGCGTGCATTTTTGAAAAATATTTTTTCATAGGCGTGGATTTTTTATACAAGTGGATTTTTTAAAAACATTTTTTATAGGCGTGGATTTTTTGAAAATATATTTTCATAGGCTTGGATTTTTTAAAAATATTTTTTCACAGGCGTGGATTTTTTTGAAAATATATTTTCATAGGCTTGGATTTTTTAAAAATATTTTTTCATAGGCGTGGATTTTTTTAAAATATTTTTACATAGGCGTGGATTTTTTTAAATATGTTTTTAACGACCTGGCTCCAATAGGCGTGGATTTTTTTTTAAATATTTTTTCATAGGCGTGGATTTTTTTCACAGGCGTTGATTTTTTTAAAAATATTTTTTCATATACGTGGATTTTTTAAAAATATTTTTTAATAGGCGTGGATTTTTTAAAAACATTTTTTCATAGGCGTGGATTTTTTTGGGGTATTTTTTCATAGGCGTGGATTTTTTAAAAATATTTTTTTAAAGGCGTGGATTTTTTAAAAACATTTTTTTATAGGCGTGGATTTTTTTAAATATGTTTTCATATACGTGGATTTTTTTAAAATATGTTTTCATAGGCGTGGATTTTTTTTTAAATATGTTTTCATATACGTGGATTTTTTTCACAGGAGTTGATTTTTTTAAAAATATTTTTTCATAGACGTGGATTTTTTAAAAATATTTTTTCATAGACGTGGATTTTTTAAAAATATTTTTTCATAGGCGTGGATTTTTTAAAAACATTTTTTCATAGGCGTGGATTTTTTAAAAATATTTTTTCATAGGCGTGGATTTTTTAAAAATATTTTTTTAAAGGCGTGGATTTTTTAAAAACATTTTTTTATAGGTTTGGATTTTTTAAAAACATTTTTTCATAAAATATGTATTTGGTCGCGTAGCTACACGAGTGTTTTCTAGTTTTAAAAGCTTTGGGCTGGTAGTGATATCTACACTTCTTCTATTTATAATTCGTAGCCATAGCGCCAATGACGTTTAGTGGGGAGTCCCACCCGTGGTCTGACATATAGGTGTCACTACTATAGGCAATATTTCAAAAATAGAATATCATGAATATTTAAAAAAATATTTTTGTAAAATCTATACCTATTGTAGAACCCTAAAAATATTTAAAAAAATCCACATCTATTGTAGAACTTTAAAACCTTAAAAATACTTTGTAAAAAATCCACGCCTATTGTAGGCCTTCTTTTTTATCTATGCCTCTTTTAAAACATTCCTCGCCTTGTTTGTTTGCTTAGTTGTTAGTTTGAGAGTCACTGCTACTCCATCAACAGCTGTCGTCTACCATTTGGTGTCTGTGTTATTACTCTACTGTGAGTGCCATTGTTTTCATTAAAAACCCCAAGAGAAGAAGAAGCATTTCATTGTTTTCATAGTTTCAGTGGCATGCCACCGGCTAATATCTGTTTTTATCCGTTTCTACTTCCTATTCGTAAACATAAACCATTGATTTTCTCAAGTCTGAAGGATCAACAGTTCAGTGAGTCGGTCCAGAAGTAGTCTGTAAGCAATCCTAATTAGGAAAGGTTTTTGGGAGGTCTCCAAAGAATTTGTATTAAGGAAACTGTGAATCTTGGAACTGGATTCATGCTGAAGTTTGCATTAAGTTTTTATAACTCCCGCCGAAATTAATTACCTATTCGCAAAAATGGAACCTGAAAATAAAATTATTTTAACATTATTGAATGGAACTGGTTATGTTTTCGAAGTGGAGGGTAAGTTGATCATAATAACTTCCCATTTGAATACTAATGTTTAAAAAATTCCTCCACAGATTACATGAAATTGCGTAGAGACCATCACATTGTGGGCTCCTTGGTGGGGACATGTACAACCCGAGGATGGTCAGCCAATGATTGTGGTATGTGCCCATTTCGATTCGATGTTTTCAAATTTTGTAATCTGCACATTATATTTCAGCAATGCCGGTGGAATTGACCCCATGGGAGACACGTTTATTGGTGGAGGAGAATTTGGCAATATTGGTTTCCAAAAAGACCTCCCTGTTGAAAGAGGAAACGGAAGAAGAACGTCAAAAATATCAAGAGGAGCTAGAACAACGTCTGTCACAACAAGAGGAAGCTTTGAAAGATGAAAAGCTGAAACAATCGCAGGGAAATATTGATAAAATAATGGCAGGAAAAAGGAAGAAACTGTTGAAGCAGGGTGTGCCAGAAAAAGGTGAGATGCAAAAAGAGTCTCTATTTAAGAATTAAAAACCACGAAGGCAAGCTGAATATCACGGAGTCTTCATAGATGGGATGATGGTCAGGGAGACGTTATGGACCAGCTAATGAATACGGAGTAATTATAGACGAGCTCAAAGCCAGCGAATCGTTGTCGATGTGCTCAAGGTCAGGGGGACTTCATAGACGAGTCGAAAGCCAGACGAACTGAAAGTCAGGGAGCCTTTATAGACGAGCTAAAGACAAGTTGGTGGCCGAGGAGTCATTACAGACGAGCTGAAGATCAGGATGTTTTTATAGACGAGTTGAAGGCCAAGGAGTCTTCATAAACGAGCTGAAGGCCAGTGATTCGTAACGGACGAACTGGAGGTCAGGAAGTTTTCATAGGCGAGCTGAAGACCAAGGAGTCTTTAACGAGAAGTTGAAGGCCAAGGATTCATTATAAACGAGCTTTATAGACGAGTTAGTGGCCCTGGAGTCCTTACAGACGAATTGAAGGCCAGGGTGTTTTATTAGGCGTAGAGGACGAGCTAAAGGGCAGGGTGTCCTTAGAGACGAGCTAAATGACAGGGAGTTTCAATAGACGAGATGAAGGCCGGCGAGTCCTTAGAGAAGAGCTGAAGGCCAAGGAGTCGAAACAGAGGAACTGAAGGCGAGGGGAAAGTCAGCGAGTCTTCATAGTCGTACTGAAGGCCAGATAGTCTTTATAGGTGAGCTGATGGCCACGGTATTTTCACAAACCGGCTGAAAGCCATGGAGTTATTGTAGACGAGCTAGAGGTCGACGGATCCTTATAGACCAGCTGAGGCCAGGGATTCATTATAAAGGGTCTGAAGGTCAGGGAGCTTTTATAGAAGAGCTGAAGCTCAGTCCGTCTTTATTGAGAAGCTGGAGCCTATTAAACCTTTAAAAAGATGACTAGCTCCATGTCTATGAACACGAACATCAGCTGCAGTTCTACAAAGGAAACCATCAGCTCCAGGTCTATAAACACGAACATCAGCCTTTATAAAGACAACAAGACCAACAGCTTCTGGTATATAAAGAAGACCATCAGCTGCAGGTCCATAAAGACGACCATCAGCTTCTGGTCTATAAAGACGACCATCAGCTTCTGGTCTATAAAGACGACCATCAGCTTCTGGTCTATAAAGATGGTCATCAGCTTCTAGTCTATAAAGACGACCATTAGCTTCTGGTGTATAAAGACGACCATCAGTTTCTGGTCTATAAAGACGACCATCACCATCTCTAGGCCTATATTAACGACCATCAGCTCCTGGTCTATACGAACGACCTCTATCTCATCTATAAAGACGACGTTCACCTCGTCTATAAAGTCGACCTTCAGCTGATCTATGAAGGCGACCTCCAACTCGTCTATAAAGACGACCTCCAAATCGCCTATAAAGACGACCTCATGCTTGTCTATAAAGACGACCTTCAGCTCGTCTATAAAGAGACCTCCAGATCGTCTATAAAGGCGACCTCCAGCTAGTCTTTAAAGACGACATCGTGCTCGTTTCAATTTCCTTTTCATGTTTTGCACTCATATATTATCTTCCTTTTCAGATATCAACTTGGATCCTCAGGAAATTCTCAAAGAAATCCGGCAGGGTCTCAAGTTTGAAAGGAAAAACGCTTTACTGGATATACCCTGCGCCCATCCGGAAATACATGGTAATACAAATACATTACTTTTTGATTAGCCACTCCAAATAACCATTTTTTTATGATCTAGAATCCCACCTTGTAACATTCTCCGACTCCGATACCTCATTAGAATACCAAGTGTTTCGTGATTTATGGTCACGGGGGAAATTTGTCACGTGTGGTGATGCTTTTGGTGCTGATTTCCTTATCTACCCTGGGGATCCCTTGCAATATCATGCTTCTCATGTTGTAATCCTGCTAGAGAATGGTACTATGAAGGCTTTGGAATTGGTGGCCAATGTCCGATTATCTGTGATGGTTAATAAATTGTGTATGGTGGCATATTTTGATGAGGATGACGATGATGATGAGGGTAGTGAGAGAGTAGTAGGACAACGTAAAATAATATATCAAACTATTACCTGGATGGGTGATAAGGACAAGGAGCGAAGGCTACACGGAAGTATGAATGTAAATGCTTCATGATAGTTTGGAATGAATGCTACAAAGAAATACATCGTGATTTATTGGAAAATAGTGAATGGATGGGGAGAAAAAATAGTCAAAATATAATACGATATTCCGGAAAACAAGAAGATGAAAGAATCGCAAATCTATTTGGATGAAATGGTGAGTCTTTTAAAGAAACACTATGATGTTGACCGGTAAAATGAAATAAAAAGAAAAAAATACCAACGATATTTCGGATCTTAATTATGGCTCTATTCTCATTACACCTTCCCATCATAAAATACTTTGTATTTTTTCGTCTATCACTTTATTATGATTGCAGCCAATAAAAACCCTCCCAATTTCAATTACCTTTGAAGAAAGAAATCACAAAACTCCTTGCGACAATCTAATTACCTCAACTTCAGATCATCAAAAATTACGACTCCCATTAAAAAATGACTTCTCTAGCAATACAGTAGCCAATGATCGAATCATTTAGAACATAATTTTTATGGTTTTCGATCATCCAGTACAACCTCCATACCTCTGCAAAACAACTTCGATTGATGATGTGTTGGGTTTGCAGCAGCATATGATGTTCAAATTTTATTAATCACAGCAATTTATTGTCATGGTGTGGTAGTGATAGTAAAAAAATCTGCTTCACTCATTCCCTTTCTCCTCTGATTTTTAATGGTGGTGGTGTTCGAATACATTTCAAGTTTTATAGACAATAAAAAATTTTCTGATATTGAGGGGAGTCACTTAGTAAGTTATGATTATTAGAAGAAGATTTTATGGACTTCTAGTTTTTACAGATTCCCTCAATTACTCGAAGTTATGATTTTAGCGGTTGGTTAATAGTATTCTGGCGTTAGCATTTATTGGTAGGTAGGGTAGCATTTTAGAGAGAATTATTGAAAAGGGGAGAATGATAGAAATTGTAGGACCTTAAAAATAATATTTAAAAACTGAACGCCTTTGGTAAAACGTCAAAAATAATTAAAACCCAGTAAGAAAAGTAGTAAAGTCTGGCTGGGCCGACTATATGATACCCTTCATCACTTGGGGTATATTATACATATGTATCCTTACAATTGCATGTCAATGTGCCCTCGAGGGAACGTGCTCATGTCTTTCTGGAACCTATGATAAATGTATTTTCATTTCGGCAGATTTATATGAAATCGGAAGAATATATATGTATATGTGGGAACTATATCTAAATCTGAACCGATTTTCATGAAAATTTGCACACATCATTCTAGACTCAATTTCGTACGTTATACGAAATTTCGTGCAAATCGAAGGATATATAGGGACTTTCCTGCACTATTTACTTAAAATCGGTCGAAAATATATATGAGAGCTATATCTAAATCTGAACCGATTTCATGAAACTTAGCACACATCATTCTAGGCTTAATTTAGTACGCTGTGCCAAATTTCGTGCAAATCGAAAGATATCTGGGGACTTTAGTGCACCATTTACCTTAAATCGGACGAAAATATATATGGGAGCTATATCTAAATCTTAACCAAATTTCACGAAACTTAGCACACATCATTCTAGACTTAATTCAGTACGCTCTGCCAAATTTCGTGCAAATCGAAAGATATTTGGGGACTTTGTTGCACCATTTACCTTAAATCGGCCGAAGATATATATGGGAGCTATATCTAAATTTGAGCCGATTTTTAGAAAACTTAGCACACATCATTCTAGGCTCAATTCAGTACGCTGTGCCAAATTTCGTGCAAATCGAAAGGTATATAGGTACTTTGGCACACCATTTACCTTAAATCGTAAGAAAATATATGTGGGAGCTATATCTAAATCTGGACCGATTTTTATGAAACTTAGCACACATCATTCTAGACTTAATTCAGTACGCTCTGCCAAATTTCGTGCAAATCGAAAGATATTTGGAGACTTAAGTGCACCATTTACCTTAAATCGGGCGAAAATATATATGGGAGCTATATCTAAATCTGAACCGATTTTTAGGAAACTTAGCACACCTCATTCTAGGCTCAATTTAGTACGCTGTGCCAAATTTCGTGCAAATCGAAAGAGATTTAGGGACTTTGGTACACTATTTACCTTAAATCGGACGAAAAAATATATGGGAGCTATATCAAAATCTGAACCGATTTTTCAATTTCCAATTTCAATAGGGTTCGTCCTTGGGCCAAATGAATGAGCTGTGTCAAATTTCATCCAAAGCCTTTTGTTGATCCTTCCAAATATAAAATTAAAAATGATGATCACTATCATCATTACGTCATTATGTTAATTTAACGAACTACCCGATTTTGGCAATTCACTTCGTTTTGAATTTTTTTTTTTTGCCGAAACCATTTCTAGCAATTTTCCAACTAATGGTCAATGCAATTTGACTTCCAAATAAATGCTGGGCAATGCAATGCGTAACTAACAGGCACTATCAAATCTCTGACACGACTACTTGCCAGGGACTCCTAAATGAATTCTGCAGATTTGAGTGACTGCTAGCCGGTGAGATGGGACGGGTGAGGGGACATAACCCAACATCATTGCTACAACAAGCATTAAGCATCATGTTCATGCCACAAACCAATGCAACACGTTGCCTGGCCTGCCACAAACCGTAACCAATACCCGCACACTTAGGAAGGCGAAGTTTGTTCATCGCAAAAGTCATGTCTGAAATTGATACTCTGTTTGACTTGCTAGGTAGCTGAGTTCAGTTCAGATCTTTGGGTTGTAGTTGTTGTTTTTGGTGTTCGCCTGCCTTTGGGGTCTAATTTCATTTATTACCATAAACGGTGGCATCGGCAATGCCGGCCATTTTCGGCTTGTCATGGCTTATTTAGGGAAAACATTTTAGCCCCGCAACAAGATGAACCTGCTGCTATGATGGGTGCTTTTTGATGGTTGTTCTGTTGATGTTCACAATCACGGCATCAATCCACATCAGCATCAGCATGGGAGTACTCATCATTATCAATGTCCAAAAAAATACTGCCACATCTATCGCGGATCATGCCTCTAAATATGGTCTTTATCGAATTGAATAACATTGGCGGAATCATTAATCTAACAATTTCGATAACGAAGGAGAAAAACGTTTCTCAATGAATCAACTACAATAGGCGTGGATTTTTTTAAAAATTATTTTTCATCAACTACAATACCTACTTAGCTGGCTTGTTACAGAACGGTTGTTCCATAAGCCCATCTTAAAAAAGATTTCCCTGATGGTATTTCCATCTAATTCGTGGCCTTCTCCTTCTACGGAAACCATTAGTAGGCTCGCTTATATATGCCTTTTGAGCTGGGTCATTCTCATTCATTTGCACAACATGGCCTAGCCATCGTAGTCGCTGCAGCTCAATGCGACTGACTATGTCGATGTCCGCGTATAAATTGTAAAGCTCGTGGTTCATTCGACGCCGATATTCACCGTCGACGCAGATCGGCCCGTAGATCTTTCGGAGAATTTTTCTTTCAAACACCCCAAGAGTTGTCTTGCGCAAGTATCCATGCTTCAGATCCATATAACAGCACGGCGGGTAATATCAGCGTCTTGTAAAGTGTGAGTTTGGTCTGGCGGGAGGTGGCCTTGTTCCTAAACTGCTTACTTACACCATAGTAGCATCTGTTGGCCATCACAATCCATCTTCGAATTTCAAAACTGATGCCATTCGTTTTATTTATGGCGTTAGCAAGGTATATAAAATCCCTAACTACCTCGAAGCTGTAGTTCTCAAGTTCCACAGTTGGTCCGAGTCTACTGGACGTCTTGCGCGTTGATACCATCAGCTTGGTCTTCTCGCAGTTTACTGCCAGACCCACTTTGGCAGACTCCTTCTCAATTTGTTCAAAGGTGGCTGTTACCGCTCGCAATGTTCGACCCATTATATCGATGTCATCGGCGTAGGCGAGTAACATGTGCCCGTGTGGTGTACAGAGTGCCATTTCTGTTCACCTTTGCGTCTCGTGTGACCTGTTCCAGCAGGATGTTAAAGAGATCACACGACAAGATGTAACCTTGTCTGAATCCTCGTTCAGTATTGAAAGGCTCCGATAGGTCCTTTCCGATTTTAACTGCTGATCTTGTGCCTGTTAAAGTTATCTTGCATAGCCGAATTAATTTTGCAGGAATGCCGAACGTAGACATGGCTTTAAACACCTCTGAACGGATAGAGTCGAGTCGAATGCGGATTTATAGTCGACGAATAGATGGTATGTGTCGATGTGTTTTTCGTGGGTCTTTTCCAGGATTTGGCGCAGAGTGAAAATATGGTCAATTGTGGATTTGCCAGGTCTGAATCCGCATTGGTATGGTCCAATAATGTCATTGACCATTGGCTTCAATCGTTCACACAGCACACTGGATAGCACTTTATATGCGATGGGAAGAAGGCTGATTCCTCTATAGTTGGCATATATCGTCTTGTCTCCTTTTTTTGTGCACGGGACACAGGATGCTGAGGTTCCAATCATTGAACATGCATTCTTCTAGCTAAATTGTACTAATCAGCTGGTGCATGCTCCTTACCAGCATCTGTCCACCAATATTGAATAGTTCGGCTGGTAACCCATCGGTACCTGCTGCTTTATTGTTCTTGAGCCGATTAATTGCTATTCTGACCTCATCTTGGCTAGGTGGTATCTATACCATCATCTCTTATTGGTTCTGGGGTATCTTCTTCACCACCACTATTACCAGATATCAGAAGTTTTTCAAAATACTCCTTCCAGATCCTCAACACGCTGTCTGTATCCGTTACCAGGTTTCCATCTTCAACTCTACAGGAGGATGTGCCTGTACCAAAGCCATCGGTTTGGTGTTTTACTCGTTGGTAAGATTTCCGGACTTCATTCTGAACATATCGATTTCCTCACGCTCACGTTTTTCTTGTTCTTTCCTCTTAATTCTGAAAATACGTTTCTCCTCTCTCCTTTTCTCCCGATAATTCTCCATCACGTTACGTGTTGCTACTGTCCGCAAGGTTGCCCTATACGCTGCGTTTTTCATATCAGTAGC